TAGAATTTTGGTTTAAGTCCCTTTGCCATTTCGGGTAGCTCACTTTAGAAGTCTGTTCATCACGCATGGCTCGATGAAAATTGGAGTTTATTGATTTGTATTGAACCTGGGATGTTTGTAAACACCTGGGATTACTTGGGAGCTAGAGATCAAGTCCAGAAGGTCCCTTTTCAGGTTGTGCAAAAGTGTAACTGGAAAGCTGGAAATTGCCAGTTTTTGGCTAAGGCAGTAGCCAGGTTCAAGCTAGATACTTTGAGACTCGATTCGGAAGGGATGGCTGCGAGTTGCGACTTTAATGGTGGACAAGTTGCGACTTGCCTACTTGGCATAGGGGTTTAAAAGCAATTTGTTATTGAAGAAGACCCCAATAGCATACATGTCTACTTGGCATAGGGTTTTAAAAGCAAACTCCTTTCCGAAAAGTCAATATAGTTTCCACGAAAAAACAAATATAGAAAGCATTCACCAAACCAAAAATGGTTGTCCATCATCTTGAAAAACAAAACATAACATGGTTTTCCATCATCTTGAAAAAAAAAAACGCAAAATCAGGTTGTCCTTGGGCTCTTCGACTGGGTTTCCTTGTGCTCTTCTATTTCATTTTTCCTCCTTTCATGGTCTTTCTTGTACTCTTCGACTGCAGCTTCAACTTGAGGTGCAACTGTACTTGCTTCCGTGAGCACTGTATGCCTTATGTAGTTAATGGCCTCTCGAACAAGGTACAAAATGATCTGCATCCTCCTCACTTGACTGCATGACTATCAACATAAAAAAACATGGTACTTAACGCATGATTCAAAAATAACAAACAAGTGTGGTTTTCCAATATGCGAACTAGAATTGTCTTTACCCACATATAAGAGGAGTCCCAGCTTGCGCCATACATCCACATGCAGACCAAGACTCTACTATCAGACCTACATAAAATGAAAGCATTGCATGATAAACAAGTTTATAAGCCGTCGTTTAATATCACGCAAAATGGACATACTTACCGATGTAGTTGTTCTTGATCCTTTGAAAGATTTGTGTACGAAAACTCCGCAATCCTTGGTGGCGACAATCCCGGACCTTGTTCACGATAGAGAATCTTCCAAAAGGCTTGCATAAATCCCATCTGTACAAATTAAGAAACGTTTGTATTGAGAAAGAGGTATTTACATTTTTTTGCGTTATAACGGCACAATGTCACAAATTTACCATTGTTTTAACAGCTTGTAGTCGAAAGGAATTGCGTCTTCTGTTGGTTTTGGATCCAAGATAATGGGTTTCTTCCTTGTCCAACTTAATGACAGCCAAGTATTAATGGGCATTATCTCTCATCAGAACACACACCTACATATGCGGAAATTGTCAACACGTATTAAAAAATAAACTGCAAACCATATAATACTTATTAAGACAAACAATTTACCTTGTTCACCATATTGGTTCTAATGCAACCCTGGGGGGTTGGATTTTTACCAAAGTACGCAGAAGCACAATCAACCTAAGGATCGGATTGATTAAAATGAAATTCGAACCAAAAAACAAGGATGTTCTTGGGTGTTTGGATAAAACGGAATCAAACGTGCAATCTTTCACGTGGAAGAAGGCTCGAATGATATAAAGGTAGATGCCCGGCCACGATCAACGTGTTCTTTAAAGAACTTCCCAGTGAAACCATCCGATCCCGGGGCCTGCTTCGATCCCATGGAGAAGACCGTGCTCCGAACCTCACTAGGCAAAACCTCCGCCGTCAAATGCGAATTCATTTGCGGAGTAACACTACAGGCAATCGGCAGATTCGCCACCCTGTCAGCCATATTAGGAATTTGGTTTTCCGAAGAAAAGAGGGTCTGGTAGAAGTTGGTGGCTATGGAAGCCTTCCCGGTTTCGTCAGTGACCCATTCTCCCTCCTCATTTTGAAGCCCGGAAACAAAGTTCCTTTTTCGCCGCGCCCTGGTGACCGTATGGAAGTAGGCTGAATTTTGATCTCCTTTTTTCAGCCACTTAACCCTGGATTTTTGTTGCCAGAATACCTCTTCCGCTTCCCACTGACGGAAGAGCTCCGCTTCCAGGTTCCTAACCTCATCCCAATTCACCGGCTGGATCGATTTTATCTTGTCAATCTCCAATTGCGCAGGGAGTTAGTTGTGCCCGCCCTGCTCCAGTCATAAAGCAGATGGCGGAGTTTCTTTAGGCGTTCCCACAGTCGAAACATAGGGGTACCTTGGATCTCTTCCTGCCAGACATACTGGACCATAGCTCTCACTTCAGGATTATCCGCTCAACGGGCATCAAAACGGAATAGGGGTCGACTACTCCGAGCATAGGGTTTATCCGCGAGCAGCAGGGCCCGATGATCCGACCCTTGATCCGTAAAGTGCTTGACCAGGGTCTCTGGATAGGCATCAATCCAGGATTGGAAGCAAAGAGCCCTATCCAGCCGTTCTCGAATACATGCCGCACCCATCCGTTTGTTTATCCAAGTGAATTGATCCCCTTGGAAACCCGGATCATGAAGCCCCAAATCATGCACAAAATCCCGAAGGCTGATGGCTTGGGCACCATTCCAAACCCTTCCCCCATCTTTTTCTCCCGCGTGAAGAATTGTGTTTAAATCACCAATGAGCACATAAGGGTGATTAATATTCGCACAAATTTCTTGTAACTGAGCCAATTGAGTAGCTCGAGTAGCAACATTGCAGCTAAGATAAACAAAGACCACCACATAAGAAAGATCTCCTTCATTAATTTGCGAACAAATACAAAAATTGGAATAAAAGAACACCGAAGCGTCAACCCCAGGGGACCAAGGAAACACTAAACCACCTGATGCATCGACTGCATCTATAAAGAAACAATGAGAAATAGCAAAACCTAAACCCGCATACGGCGGGATACTACACGCCGGCTCGATCGAGTCTCCGAAAGTGAGAGATGGCCCAATTCCTCTCACATTCCACGCCAGAAGCCTCATTTATCAACTTGGGGCCACTCGAGGCTGGCTTCCTCCACCTTTTCTAGAGCTTCAGCATTTTCCACAAATTATTTTTTCGGAGTAGGGGGGTCACCAACATCCCCGTCCAGTGTCTCTATCCCCCGCTTCCGATTTACCATGATTGGGCCCATCAGATGAGTTCCATACTCATCCAAGGTCACATCCGACCCTTTGGGAGGAACATCCTCCTCCCGTTCGAATACAAGCCCAAGCTCGAAAGCCTCCACTACTTGGTGGACATGTCCTTTCATGATTTGGCCAGCTTTCGTGGACCCCCTACCGGTACGTCGTTTGATTTCAAAAGCACCAAGCGAGTGATCTCCATCAGAGTCAGAGTCCTCCTGGTGATTCGCATCAAAAGGATCATCCAAAGGATCAACAACCTCCTCGTCCTTCAGCCCATGCATAGCCCTAGGTGAGACAAGGCTCACATCCTGCTTGGTTAAAGCCAGCAGGCTCTTCCCACCAGCTTTCCTCAGAAGTGGGCGAACCCGAGTCTTGGATGATTCCTTCATCGATGGGGGACCAGACCCCTTAGTACCCGCCAGCTCCTCCTCTTCCGACTCCTCCTGCAAGATCAGTCTACGTCTCCGTGACTGCTCAAGAACCTCCACCATAGGGTCTGCCTTTTGTTGGCGCTTAGGAGCCTGTCTAGCACGTCTCTCTGGCTGCTGGCGACCCTTGGAACCCTGCCGAGGAAGGGGAGCACCCTTTCTGGGAGAGTGCTTGTTCTGGACTGGCCTCACAACACCACCAATCCTCACCCGCGGAGATGTCTTGAAGACAAACCGCTTAGGACTCGCACGATTCCCAGCCAATTTAGTATTTGGTTCACGCAACCTAGGCTGTGTCTTCTTGCTAGATTGAGCTGTCAAATCATCGGCCACAAAGGGGGCCAATCCTTGAGCTTGAGAGTGGTCTGTAGGCCCTGATGGGAGCCCCTGCATTCCACCCCGAGAGGTCTTTGCACTCCCTCCATTGTACACTTGCACATTTCTGTTCACCCACACTGATTTACTGGTGTTCCGATACTTTGGGTAATCTTCCTCTTCCATGTATAATTTCCTTCCTAGCTTTCTTGTTGACATGTGGGGGCCGAATCGTTCCTTGCCCGAAGGAGGATCGAAAACACAGTCACGTTTTGAGTGCCCCACCCGGCCACAATGAAAACAGATGGTCGGTAAAAATTCATACTTGAGATTGACCCAGAATTGACCCAGTTCCTCACTGACCGCCATGAGCTGGGATCGCAGAGGTTTTGTAAAATCAATGAGGGCATGCACTTTGACAAAGCACTCCTCCGTGTCTCTTGCCGCAAAAACATCTGCCTCCAAGACCTGACCAATAGTTCCTGTTGCGACCTTTCAACCAAACTGTCTAGTGCAACATTCATCTCTAACATTCCAGAGCTGCACGCGGAAAGGAGCAATGGCCAGCTCATCAAAAGTAGTTTTCGAGATAGATGGAACCTAGGATCGAAGATGGAATATCCTGTCTTTGACAATCCATGGTGTTCGTTTCAGAATCCACACTCTTGTCTCATCATTTGGCAGCACCACCTCAAACAGACCGAATTTAGTAAGCGTAACCCGAAGGTTTCCTTTCACCCTCCAAGCGTCAACAAGACCTTCCCTCAACTCTGCCGGCGTGAAACTGTTCTGCGAGAATAGTCTACCCATGAGTGTCCGCGCAGTGCGAAACTTGACAGACTGAACTTCATCAAGCGTGAACTCAACCACTTGATCCTCCGCAATTCGCACAATCTTAATCACCTGAGAAGGAGGCATAGATATGACATTAGAATCAATGACTATGGTCGAATTTTTAAAGGAAGCAGGGGGCTGCAGCAGGCAATCTGCTTTTCTTGGAATTAAGACCACGACAGGATAAGAGGGACGGGGCGCGTTCGATTTTTGCAGCAGCCCGGCGGGGGAAGAGCCCAGCAGCGTATTGGTACTCGAGAGTACAGTAGGCTCAGTTGGGGCGGAGCTGAGAGAAAGGAGAGAATCAAAAATCTCTATACCTGTCGATGGAGCCCGAGCAACGCGCAACTGGCCGGGGGGGGGACGGCTGGCTTCACCAAAGACTCGAGAGCAGAAAGCCGCCGGCAATTACTTCCTCTTGTTTCTGCAGGGCTTACTGGCCACCAGGAATTTTTAGATAATGTGCTTGCTATCGGCAACCCCAATTTATAGGCAGCTACCGCATCGCGTCCTCCTAAGAGGCATGGCCCTCTGCAACTTCCAGAAAGCAGAGTTAGTTTCGAAATAGGTTTTCTCTCGTGGAGGAGAATATTTCGATTTTTCAGGGGGGGATTATGATTCTTCGGTTGCAGATCTCCCCCGCAAATCTTGCATAACCAGATTAGGGATTTGGGCCGCAAGGCCTCTCTATCCACCCAGCGAATTTTCAGGCCTCCCAGTCCGCGCCGATCATCGGCACCATCAGCACCGCCGCACGAATCGTCGGCGGGTTTTTTGGGAATTCTGGACCTAAAGCGTCGCACTTGCTTCCTCTGTGCTGGAGGAATCACGGACGCCCCATCCCCAGAGGGAATTGCACTAGCTGTACTAGTTCTGTAAACAACACTGAAATCACCTTTGATTTTGTAATGGCGAAATCCAAAATCAACACCAATCGGTGTCCCGGGACTAATCCCTCCCCCTATGGGGAAAATTTTGATTTCCTGATCACAGCGTCTACTCTGAATAATTCCAGGTTCGCCAATCTGTGCAGGGCTGCCCGCGAACGGGATTAAATCGAGTTCTTCTTCGTCCAAATCTGACGATTGCGGAAGCCAAAATCTCCAGGCTTTTCTTGATCCCTGTTTACACCTCTTTGTTGGACGGTCAATCAAAATCTCCGGAACCTCAAACGCAAGCAAGAGAGATTGCTTGGTTGATTGCCGTCTCTTGTCGCCACTCCGGGCACCATCGCAACAGGGAATCGTCGGCCGCTTCGTCTGCCGTTTCCTTTCTTGTTTGATGGAGAATGGGGTTTCCTTTCTCCCCGTCTCCTGGACTTCGCTACAAGCATTGAATGTCGGGCGCAGTATCCAGTTTTCCTTGGCTTGATTCCGCACACTCGTCACAAAAGCCCCGACGGCGACCCTTGCTAACCACCGACCGACTACCAAACAAAGCAGGAGGAGAGAGGACAGAGCCTCTCGCAACATTTTTTTTTCTCAATCTCTTTCATTCCTCAAACGCAATAGTGTGTGCTAATAGACAATAAAGTTAATTATCATCAGTATAATTAACTAGACTCCTACCATTATTAATTAATCTCCCTCTAAATGGCTAAATCAATTTAGGAAGAAACGAGAGCAGCGTCTTGACGTTCTGGCCCGAGCGCAAGGTAACAACCCCAACCACCGCCTTGAACTGCTGGGTCCCGACTCCACCAACGCCGCCGTCGACCGTCGTCAGCACCAGCTGGTAAACCGCATTCACGTTGGGGACCACCACCTTGAGCTCCGCCGTGTCCACCTGCACCAGCCTCAGCTGATGGAGCGGGACCCAGTGGTTGTGAGTGGCCACCGCAAAGTCCGCCACCTCCCTCACGCTCCCGCCGCTCGTCAGGTCGTTTACCGGCTGCCACCCGGTCGTTGCTCCGGCTGCCGAAAGCGCGGCGAGGATGGAGACGACGGCGAGAGTGATTTGTGCTTTCATTGTTGACCGTTTTTTACTTTTTCAACGTAATTTTCTCTGTGGAAGATTGTCATGAGAATTGAGATGAGACTAATTTGAGCTGGATATTTGTAGTCAAAAATCAAAATATGGCGAGCATTTGGAATTCTCATTTTTGCTGCTGGGAATGTTTCAAGCTCGTCAACATTAAAGGGCGTTAAAGTAAAAGTCTGTTTCTTTTTACTTAAATTTCAACGTAAGTTTCCGATAACGACAGGGTTATTGATAGTGTCGGAGCATCCGTATTAGAATTTTATTTTGAATTGCATAGTAATATAGTATTTATTATTTGTAATTATATTGATATAGATGATCCTTTATTTTGGTGTAATTTATAAATTTGTGGTCTACTTCATTGAATTTGTAGTGTTTTTCAATGTAGTCAAAATCCCGATTTTAATCTTAAAATCTTACGATTTTACGATCTTACCTATGGGTTCCGATCCTGATTTTACTGTAAATTCTTTGAACCTTAAAATCCCATAAAATCCTGATTTAAAACTCTAAAATCCATAAAATCTACGATTTCTACGATTTTGTACGATTTCAAGGTTCATATCAATTGGATCAAAATTAGGCCGGTGAAGTTGGGTTATGCCCATGAACCAAGTCAAATTTACTTTCCCCGACCCAACATAATGAACAACACAACCCCAACCTTATAGTTAACCCTCAATTTATTTTCATTCTCTTCCTCGTATCTTCCTCTTTCGCACGTCGGCGCCCAACTCCTTCCATCAACGAGATCTTCCACCCTCCCAATTAGCTTGTAGTTTGTTCCCACCACCCTCACAATAATCCAAATCTCCATTATATTGCAAGCTTTTGTTCATCTCCCAATCCTTCGGCACCACTAACCCGACTTTTTATCAATTAAGAAGGGAATGCATCAATCAATGAGTTATCTTTTCCAGATAATGGTAATCAAGGAAATATGGTTAAAGGTGAAAGTACTTCAAGTGATCATAAGAGTAATGATATTAGTCCTTAAACAAATAAAAACGATGACAGTGAGGGTGAGGTTGAGGATGATGACGATGATGTGTAAGTGATGTTAATGTTGATCCTAACGATCTTACGTGATTTTCTACTCTTAACAATTAGTTAACAGTGATATCTATAATGTTTCAGGTTTCTTATTTGTGTGTTTCTATTATGTACAGAAAAATATATGGATTAGTTGTGTTTGTTTAGCAAACAAACTTATCTTGGGAAGTAATTATGCTTTATGTGGTTGATTGTTATTCAAGATATGCATTTTTATTACTATCTAGTGTTTTAAGTATTTATTTTAATATGAACCTTAAAATCTTACGATTTTACGATTTTAATCTACGATTTCGATTCTACCTCAGTTTTCGATTTTACTTGAAATCTAGATTTTGACTGCATTGGTGTTTTTCTAAACTTGTGGTCTACTTTATTAGACTTGTGGTGTCCTTTAATGGACTCGTGGTATGCTCTTCATATTCTACTTACTTTCATAGAGGTTCACATGCAAATTACAATTTAGTACTAAACTTAATAGTTATTAATATTTGGTATCCAAAATTAATTTTTACATATAAGTCCTAAAAATATTGATGGAAATTTACATATTAGCACCTAATTTTTTTTTCTCTCTCACATTTTGATACCTAAACTTTTAAAATTTTATAAATAGGTCCACTTTTTAATAAAATTTTGGTGTGCTTTAAAACAATTGTGGTGTGCTTCATGGGGTTAGTGGTGTGGTTGATAAGAGTTGTGGTCTACTTTAAAATACTTGTGGTGTGCTTTTATAAAATTGTGTTATGTTCAGAGAACTTGTGGTATGCTTTAGGAAACTTGTGGTGTGCTTTAATAAACTTGTGTTATGCTTTATGAGGTCTCCTTTATAAGACTTGTAGTATGTTTGATGTGGTTTGTGGTGTGCTTTTATATTCTTGTATGATGTTTTTGAGACTTATGGTCTGCTTTAATAAACTTGTAGTCTGTTGAGGTTGTGGTATGCTTCATAGGACTTATGGTTTAGTTTAAGAAATTTATTGTATCTTTTATGAGGTTTCTGGTATACTTTAACAATTTGTAGTATGCTCTAATAAATTTGTGATCTTCTTTATAAAGGTTCTCGTATGTTTCATGGAATTTATTGTGTGCTTAAAAAACTTGTGGTTTACTTCAGAAAACTTATAGAAAGCTTTAGAAGATTATTATTGTGTGCTTAAAACTATGAAAACATACCATAAAATATGAAAAACCCACCACAAACGTATTTATATATTAGCCTTCTCTCCCATCAACCACCATCAGGTCCATCACATTGACCACCCTCCTCCATTTCCTTTCTCAATTCACCATAACCCACTGAATGAAAGAAGACAACGAAGCAAGATTGCGGAGGGTATCGGTGGCTGGGGCTGGGTATTTGGTCCGGGTTTTTTGGTTTTACCCAAAACTGGACCGTATAACCTGGACCGAGACCGGACCAGGACCGGATAGTAAACAATCCAATCCAATCTTTGGGCTTAGAGTTGAGGTAAAAAATCGTTTAGGACCGGATCGAAAACTGGATAAAGACCGGATAAGAGAGCTGAACACCCAAAACTTAAGGCTAATTTGCATAAACAGTCACAAAGCTTTGCACTTAGTACAAAACTTAACCAACTCCTCACCCTTTCGTGCCTTAGGCCACTCAAATCCCCACAAGCTCAATATAAAATCAAGACCGAATTGGGACCGGACCGGATCAAAATCGGACTGTATCCAATCCAATCTTTGGTCCTTATATTTTCAAAAAGACCGGACTGGACCGGATCAATTTGTGCCAATTTAACCGGACCGTATAGCCACCCCTATCGGTGGCCACCAATCCCAACGAGTACTTCATAATTAACCTGACCTTGCTTGTACATCGATTTAAGTTATTCCTCCATTGCCAAGCAGTATATCGTTAATAAGGTAATTCCCTCCATCTCCATTGATAAGAATATTCCAAATAATAGCATCACCGTCGTATTGTGATGTTAATTATCATAAACGGTCACAAAACTATTCATTTTGTAAAAAACGTTCACAAACCTTTAATTTTGCACCGTGTGGTCGTCACAATTTGGGTTTCAGTAACATATGTTTAGACTAATAACAAAAAGATATTTCTGTTCATCTCCATACAGAAAACCGTTACTTCTGTCCAGTTAGCACACCAAGTTATTTAAGATATTAATAAAAAATTAATGACCAAACCCAATTGAACTGATAACCCAATAAAAACCCAAATTCTATACCCACCCAAATTGAAAACCCTAATTATGTCACCTCCTCTGGTCGCATTTTCGGTCCGAGTCAAACGCCAACCGGAAGGACCTACCACAAAATTTTCCTTCCACGAACACTAATTGGGACGACCACACGGCCTTTGCAACTAATGCCACTATTCCTCCTCCTTCTCTGTTGCCACCAGCTACGATCGCGATGCCTGCTCGATTGGATGAACTAGTGGAAAAGGGGATCTTTAAGGTGAAGAAGAAGAGGAAATTAAACAGGACGATGAAGAAATTCTATAAGAGTGCTCACTTCTCATTGCAAAGTGGCATAAAGAAAGCACAACAACCGCATTCGCTCTTATGCCTTTGACTGTACCCTGCGGCATACATAGCTAGCCGTAGCAGCATATAGGTTGGATCCGTTTTCACTACCTATGCCTTTTCTCAATTTGGATATCGTATTTTACTTTTGAGAGTCTAAAGACCGTGTTTCTGAAGAATATGATCCAAAGATGGTTAAGAAAGATCGACACTATGATGACTGCTACCGAGATGACTACTGACATGCAATGGTTGGAAAGAAGAGAACTGGGAGGAAATGTGAAATAAGGGGAGTAACAAATTGAAAGATAAGAATCATATTCAGATCAAATGGAGGAAAAGGTTCAAGGTTCATTTCCACCGCCAAAAGAAATCGATGGAGAAGAAGCAAGATCATCACCATGAACCAAATGTGAACGGTGGGGAGTTCACTTTCAGGGGAGGGTGGAGGAAGAAGATCAGGAATCATAATGCCACAAATGGAACCGAGTTGATCGTCGCAATCCGTGTTCTCTCATGTTGGTGAACGTTTCCCGTAAATCTTGCAAATGCATTCCCACTTCCTTGCTTTTCACCAAAACGTCGTCGACATAAGCCTCCACATTCCTTCCCAACTGGCGGCGGAGCACGGCATCCACCATTCTTTGGTAGGTCGCCCCCGCATTCTTTAGGCTGAAGGACATGACCATCTAGCAGTAGTTTCCCGTGGCGGTCATGAACACGGTTTTTTCTTGGTCCTCTTCGACGAGGCTTATCTAATGGTAACCTAAGAACATATCTAGCAAGCTTAGCATGGTGTGGTTGGCCGTGGCATCGATGATCTGGTCAATTCTAGGGAGCGGATATGCGTCTTTGGGACACGCACTCTTGAGGCTTGTGAAATCTACGCACATGCGCCACAGACCTGAGCTTTTTTTAACGAAAACCGCTATGGCCAGCTAGCCACGTGGGATACTTCACTTCCCTGATGAATCCCGCCTTTAATAACTTTTGTATTTCCTCCTCCAAAGCCATCTGTTTTCCGATCGATATATTTTGCCGCTTTTGCTTTACCGGGCTTGTATTCGGCTTTACCACGAGGTGATGCTCTGTCAGCTCTCGTGGTACGCCGGGCATGTCTTCCGGGCCCCATGCAAAAAGTTCCGCGAATTCCCGCAGGAGGTTAAGCATGCTAGCAGCCATCTCAGGCTGAAGGTGCGCGTACATACGCACCGTCTTCTCTGGTTCTTCGTTGCATAAAGCGACGGCCACATCCCCCAGTAACGCTTCTGGCCTTGGCAAGTTTCCCCTTGTATACACCAGATCCACTTCCAACTGTTTGATGGTCGCTTGATAGCATTCTCTCGCCTACTGGGTGTTGCCTTTTACGCATCCCACTCTGTTTCCTATAGTGAACTTCAGCCTTTGATGGCACGTAGACGCTATTGCTCCGAACGTGGACAAGAAACCCCACCCTAGGATGGCATTATATGCAAAGGGGCAATCCGCTACATGAAACTCCATCGGCTTTGTCTTGGTGATGTTGCCTTCTCCAATCGTTACGTGCAATGTTATCACGCCCAACACTTTAATCTTTGACCCCGAGAACCCTACCAGCTGGGTCGTGAGGGTTGAGAAAAATAGGATGTCTGTTGAACTTCCATTGTCAATGAGTGTCTTTGTTACTTTATATTTTCCCGTGCGGAAGGATATGACGAGGGGGTCTTCAGCCGTCTCCGGATTGGCTAACTCTGATGCGTTGAACACAATCTCCGCCATTGATGCGAAAGCCAAAGTTAGGCATGATGCATCCTCTCTCGCTACCCTTGACCGCTTCCTTCCCCCTGAGATCATTATTATCTCCAGATCATCTTCGCCCTAACGAGGTTGTCTCCTTGGCGGGGGCGCATTTGGTGGGGAGGGGAGCCTCTCCCTTTCTTTCTTGGTGCGAGACCTTGATCTTCTAGGCGATCGCGCCCTCCTCTCCCGCGATCTAGAGCGTGGCCTCCTCGGGGACCTACTGCGACGTCGTCTGGGGGAAGGCAACCTCGCCTTCTCTTGCTTCTTAGCTTCGAGTCTGTTGCGCAAATCTTTTGGGGCGAGATTGGTGAGGCTCGTTTGAAAATCTCGACAATCCATTGTGTTGTGAGTTGACTTCTGGTGCCAGTCGCACCATCTCCTGAAGACTCGGGCTTCCGGTCGCCTTTGACCCTCGGGACGGGGTCTTTCATCACGTGTCCTTCCGGATGATGCATCCTCCTTGTCTCTCTCGGTGGTATAATCTTTCCGCTTGCTTTCTGTCCCCGTGCGTCTTTATTTTGTAGCCGGGTCCCTCCGGGGATCTCCCCCTTCTGGGTGGCGATTTGTTTCTTCTTTTCGTGTCCCTTGCCCTTCCTCTGCGATCCGCTAGCACTAGGGCCTCTTCCAACTTTATCACTCGGCACACCAAGTTGTCTAAGTCCGGCCACGTCTTGATTCCCTGCTCTTTTTTTATCAATGCTCTCTGAAGCTCCTTGCTTCGCGTCACCATCCTTAGGCTTTCTGCTGCTGCATTTGGCGTAACTCCTTGTATTTCGCTCGCAATGGTATTCCACTTGTCGTAGAAATCCGTCAAGGTTTCCCCTTCCCCTTGCGTGTAGTTTATGAGCGCGGTAACAGTCAGCCTTCGGCGGATTTGGGGTGCGAATTTCGACGTGAGAAGAGTTGCGAATTGCTCGAAGTTGTCAATGATTCCTTCCGGGAGAGACGTGTACCATGTGCTTCACCGCCCCCCGAACATAATAGGGAAGGCTTTCCATAGGTCGGCATCCGTGGCATTGATCAGTTGCAACTTCAGCGTGAAGGCGCTCAAATGGTCGTTTGGGTCCGTGCTTCCGTTGTAAGCGGGAAGGCCTAGTGAGGAGAAGTTGGGGGAACGGGGTTCCGGAACAGTTTCTTCACCAACGGATTATGCAGGATGTTGGGGCCCTTTCCTTTCCCGCTTCCCTTCTCGAAACTCGACTGTAAGTGCTCCTCCAGAAAGCTTAAGTCTGCTTCTGGCCTCTCATCCTCCGTCTCCTCGTCTTCAGGGTCTTCGACCTCCACCATCTTCTTCTTTCCTTTGTCCCTCGGCGTCTGGGACGGCCCGGGAACGTCATGATCCTTTATTCCCTCTTTTATCAATGAGAGTATTTGGTTGATGTTACCCTGCATTTGCGAGATCTGTTTTCCGTGGTTCTTCACCCTGTCCTCAAGCTCCACCTCCTCTTCCACGTTTGGGGACAGCCCGCGCAACGTCATTGGTTCCACGACCTCTTTCATGGGGGTAAAGGAATCTCCCGCCATCTCAAGGAACTTAGAAACTCCTTCCTAGGCCCCACTGTGGGCGCCAAATTATTTACGCCTAGAAAGTGTCAGGCGGAGTTTAGCGGGGACTTTGAAGAGATCACGCCTTTCCTTGAGCGGGGAGCTACTGTTCCTGCAGAAAAGGTCTGGGGGCGGGAGCCCTTGGACACTCTCCAATGATCAAGTCAGTATTTAGACAGAGAAAGTAGATAGAGAGAGAGGGTAGGTTAGTTACCATTAAATGAGGTGGTTGGTTTGTATTTATAGTTGGTGATGGTTTGTATGGGAAAAAATCCCAAGTTACACATGTTTTTAAAAAAATTTCTCAAAATACACACGTTATGAAAATAATTCCCAATCTACGCATGTTTGGGCCTTCACTGCTGCAGAGGAGGGCGGTGATTGCATCACCGCATTAAAGAAAGGCGATGATTGCATCACCGCATGAGAGAAGCACGGTGATTGCCATCACCGCTGTAGAGGAAGGCGGTGATTGCATCACCGCTCTAGAGAAAGGCGGTGAAGGCCTGACCTGCGTCAAAACTTTAAACAAACATAACTTTGTGCTCGGTTATCCGATCGTAGCGAATTTTCTTGTTGATTCCACATAATTTTTCGAGATCTTGTTTAAAGTTTCAACGCAGGTCAGGCCTTCACCACGGCCGTGTAATGCGGTGAAGCATTCACCACCTTCCTCTACAGCGGTGATGCAATCACCGTCCTTCTCTCATGCGGTGATGCAATCACCGCCCTCCTCTGACCTCTCACGCGGTGATGCAATCACCGCCCTCCTCTGCCGCATTGAATACCCAAACATGCGTAGATTGGGAATTATTTTCATAACGTGTGTATTTTGAGATTTTTTTTAAAAAACATGTGTAACTTGGGAATTTTTCCGGTTTGTATGATCATTTAATGTTGTTTGGCGTTTACTAAACGTAAGCTCAAACGGCTACGCCTTCGGCGGCATTTAATGCATTGTCAGTTTGGCATGATTAGCACTGACTGCTGTCTTATCAGACATACGTTTCTTACGCTCGCAACTTCTGAGGCGTCTCCGTTTCCGGCCAATCATCTCGTCATTGGGCCTTCATGGCTATTGGGCCGGCTCTTCTCTTGTGGGCTTTGGTTTGGGTATGTGTTCCCGTATGTCCCAATAATAAGGGATACTAACAGAGTTATACAACTGTTGTGTAAGATATAAATGCATTACACGAGAAACATATAAGTATGTTTAATATTATAGTTACGTAAACATTATGTACTAGCTTTGAACCTTATGCAATTTTGTATCAATATATAATAAGATCATATATTCGGCATCCCTTACATAATATTTTTATCCAACTATTACTTAATATATTCATAAACGTTACATAATAAGCATGTGAAAATGTTCGAAAAACAGAATGAAAAACAAATAAAATTTCTTTTTCGTTACTCAATTTCTAAAACCAAAATAGAAAGTAGTATCCCAAGTGAACATGCCCTTAATTAGGAAATTCTCCTGGTCAATATAATAAAGTTGAATAAAAATATGAGCAATCTGACATTTCAAAGTTGAGATTAAGCAGGATAACATCACGTGTACTTAACCCACATTTGTTATTTTAATGAACGTGTTATATTTTCATATCCAAACTTGCAATCAATTATTATATTATTTCTTTTTTTTTTTAAGATGAGGGGATGCTTAGTCAAATTTACAAGAATTGTAAAATTATTTTTAAGGTCATATCGAAAAAGTCAGTGATAAATTATTTTGTACTAAAATTATAACTCAATTATCTCTTATTGCTAAAATTGCCTACCGATTTAATTAAGTCCGATACCTGGTATTTTCCGTCCTACTGGTTGGTACTATATGGTTTTATAAACATCGGAAATGAAGGTAAAATCTTGTTATCAATTCATGGTCATCTATTCAAAGAATATAATATGACTGGTAGTCTGGTACCATGTAAGTGTTAGTTTAGATGAAGAAAGAGCAGTCAATAATCATCTTTAAAGGTGGAAAAGAAACTCATCCAATCACCATCACAAACTGAAGGTCAAATATTAATCTCAAAGGAATTTTATTTTGTATTCATTTTTTCCATAATCTAACGAATATCCCATGCACTAAAGAACAAGAAAAGGAAAAAAAACATTAATGAGCACTGCAGTGTACAATAACAGCAGCCAGCAGCCACTACAGACTACAGAGGAAGAAAAAAAAGTGAAGAAACAAAAGAATCAATAGTGAATTGTATATGTAAAGGGCTCCAAGTAGCTACCCATGAAAATAATAATAAATTTTTTTTTTATGGTTAAAATAATAATAAATTAAATAATTAAGCAAGATTGAAATTTTATATAAAAAAAGGTAAAAATATAACGAAATGAATTTTAATACGATCAGTGGCCCACTCCGGGGCTGGGACCATCATTGGCAGCATCGGTGAAGCTGTTCCCGACGCCTGGGCTGGGCCCCGATTGCTTCACCGCCCCAAGGGCCAACTCCTCCCAGAAGGCCGCATCGGCCCACCAGCTCCCGCCACTGCCGCTGCTCTCCGCATCGGACTTCACTATATTGAACGGCCGAGCCTCCACTCCGCAGCCAAGCAGCAGCTGAATCACGACCGCAACGGCGATCAGAACGCTCAAAATCCGATTGAATCCTCCTCTGGCCATTGGTGGGTTCTCTAATAATTTCGAATCTAGGAACGGAAATGGAAATGGAGACGAAACAATATGTTGCACGTGAAGTGACTGTGGAAATGCCTCTGTGAGAGAATGATATCTTGGGGGTGGGAAGGGTGGTTTGAGCTTGAGCCTGAGGTGTATATATATAGTACTATAGTGCCAAAGCAGAGGAAGTAAGCTAACGTCGTTGAATGTTCAAACGGAAATTTGTGCTTATTTCCAAGGGCCAAGGAAGAAAGGAAGCAGCGGAGATGATTCCGATCGGTCCATCCATGAGACTTGGGGAGCAATGTAATTTAGTCAGTTGGTTGGTCCAACATGATAACTCACTCCGCTATTGGATTTGGGGGAAGAAGACTGAATAATACTCAGGTTTTCAAAAGCCATCTCAACGAGCTAGCCCAAATTCAAATTTTGGACGGGAACTTGGACTTGTGAGATTAATTATTCCTCAAGTTGGAATTTGACTCCTGAGCGGCATATGAAAATCATGCCAGGGAGAGGCAAAGGGTGTCTGACTCATTTATTTCACGTTTACATGCCACCCTAGTCAATTTAGGGTTGTAGAGATGCACGAGTGCATGGTGATACATGTGATTGGATCATGTTGTACATCATGTGTGTCAAAGTATTTAATATGATATTTGTGTTCTAAAATATTTTTTTCGTTAGTGTTGACCTTCACAAGTGACACATTTTTTATAGTTCTGGTTTTCTAATGATATTAGCCCTGATGTATTTTACTTAGTAAGTTAGCATTTTCACTTCAAAATACTATCAACAACTAACATAGTACACACACAAAAATTTAGCATATAAGATATTAATACACATATTTATATCTATAGTAGTTGTTTAAACCTGGAAAGTTCCAAGGCGTATTGGAGACCGTTTCTGTTGAGATTACGTCTTTACCCTGACGCAAGCGTGTTCCTTTCCCTGCAGAAAAGATCCGGAGGCGGAGGCCTCGGATACTCTCTGACGCTTAAGTTAGTGTTTAGCTAGAGAGAGAAAGTAGATAGAGAATAGGTAGTTCAGTTACCATTAAATGATGTGGTTGGACCTCAATTTATAGCTGATGAGAGTTGGTATGAGCATTTAATGCTCTGCTAGGCGTGTACCCGACGTACCTTTTATGTACTTACGCTTCCGGCTGCATTTAATGCTGCCAGAGTAGCTATGATTAACGCTACTAATGTCTTATCAGGTTTACCTTCCCTATGCACGCTCTCGAGCACCCTTCACGCTTTCGATGGCGCTTCCCGCTTTCCGTCTCTACTACCTTCCCTATGTAACTCGAGATTCCCAACCCGAATTTACCCAACCCGGTCCGATTGCCAGGTCTATATACTAACAGGGTGTACAACTGTTGTGTAAGATATAAATGCATTACATGAAAAACATATTACGATATTTATTTCTTAAGTATATTTAATATTAGAGTTACATAAATTTTATGTAATAGATTTGAACCTTATGCAATTTTGTATCATTATATAATGAGATCCATTTTCAATATTTTTTGAGAAATTTGTTTTCTTACCTCTTATTACCAACTGCATACCATACGGTATATTCTTCGTTTTTAAGTCATTTTGAAATTTTTTGCTCAAAAGGAACGAGTTTATCATGATCTATTGGATCTACAAATTTCCGAGTAAACAAAATACATGACCAAAAAAACCACATAATACCACCCTGGTACGGGGTGATATCTTGTGGTACACAATGTTGAAATTCGTAAATGACAGTTAGTATACTCTTACTATCATGTATTCAACCATTTTACAGTCTTGGTATGTTCATATCAACATGGTACGCTATTCATACCATATGGTATGCTCATATTTCAATACTAGTCAATACCATATGGTATACACGGGTAAAAAATTGCTCAATTTTTTTTTGTTCCAAAACTATATCAAAGTGTATATAATTTTGGAGAGCACAATTAATCTGATCTAATTGTGTAAAAAATTTAAATTCCCCCTTAAACGAGTGAGAAGTCGTCCGTTAAAAATTTAGAAAGAAAAAAATTAAAAACTTTACAGGAGGGAAAATGTGCGTTGATGTGATGGATGCTGATTGAATTATGCATAGTTACTGACCGGATCGGCTCACCAATTTTTAAAACCAAAATAGAAAGTAGTATCACAAGTGAACATACCCTTAATCAGGAAATACCCCTGGTCAATATAATAAAGTTGAATAAAAATATGAGCAATCTGACATTTCAAAGTTGTGGTTAAGCAGGATAAAATCACGTGTACTTAACCCACAGTTGTTATTTTAATGTATGTGTTATTTTTTCATATCCAAATTTGTAATAAATTATTATATTATTTCCTGTTTCAAGAGGAGGGATGCTTAGTCAATATTTACAAGAATGTTAAAACCTTGAAAGGTTATACCGAAAAAAAACAGTGATAAAGTATTTTGTATTAAAATTGTGGCTAAATTATTATATTATTTCCTGTTTCAACAGGAGGGAAAATTGTGGCTCGATTTGTGGGCAATACTTGGTATTTTCTATCGTACCGACTGGTACGGTAGGATTTTTAAACATTGGAAATGAAAGTAAAATCTTGTTATCATTATAAAAAAAAAGTAAAATCTTGTCATCATAATCATCTATTCAAAGAATATAATATGATTAAGGGAGAAAAGAAACTCATCCAATCACCATCACAAACTGAAGGTCAATATTAATCTCAAAAGTGGAGCCACACTTTTATTTTGTATTCATTTTTCCCATAATCTGTAACGAATATCCTATGCACTAAAGAACAAGAAAAAGAAAAAACACTGCGGTGTAACAATAATACACCACTTGATAGAAGCAGCCGACGACACTAGAGAGAAATAGCAAAAGAGAAGAAACAACAGAATAGTGTGAAATATACATGTATAGCCGTATAGGGCTCCGAGTAGATTCCCGTGAAAAAATTAAATAATTAGAAAAAAAGAAACTGTATATAGAAAAACGAATTAATTTTAATCAATACGAATATGATCAGTGGCGCACTCCGGGGCTGGGACCATCATTGGCAGCATTGGTGAAGCTGTTTCCGACGCCCGGGCTGGGCCCCGATTGCTTCACCGCCCCAAGAGCCAACCCCTCCCAGAAGGCCGCATCGGCCCACCAGCTGCCGCTGCTCTGCGCATCGGGCCGCTTCAATATATTGAACGGCCGAGCCTCCACTCCGCACCCAAGCAGCTGAATCACAACCGCAGCGGCGATGATCAGAACGCTCACAATCCGAACGAATCCTGCTCTGGCGATTGATGGGTTTTCAATTGGTACGAAACAATGTGTGTTTTCTGTGTATGTTTATGGGAAGGCGAGGAATTAATATTTGCACGTGAAGTGGCTGTGGAAATGCCTGTGAGAGAATGATACCTGGGGACGAGTGGTTCAAGGTATATATACAGTGCCGAGGCAAAGAAAGCTTGACGTCGTTGAATGTTCAAACGGAAATTTTTTGCTTGTTTGTAAGGGGGAAGGAAGCAGCGGCGACGGTTCGGATCGGTCCATTCGTGATACTTGGGAGCAAGCAAATGAGTTAGTTGTTTGGTCCAACATGCATGATAACTCACTCCGCCATTTGATTTGGGGGAAGAACTAAGAAGACTAAATAATTCCAGGATTTTCAGAAGCTATCCCAACGAGCCCAATTCAAAATTTTGGGTGGGAACTTGGACTTGTGATTATTCCTCAAGTTAGACTTTGAGTCAGTGGCACGCCACGGAAGTTGGCAAAGCAGTTGTTGGTTACTACAAGTCCCTATACTCTGAACCACTCATTCGACGGCCTATTCCCAATGATGTATGCTTTAAATCCCTAGAGTACGCAGATAGAGGCGGACCTAGGAATTTTATTCTTTCAAAAAATAAAGTAAAATAAAAATTAAATAATTAATAATTAATAAAAATTATATTATTCTTTAGTAAGAAAAATACCCAACTCGTACAAGTTAAAAATAAAAGTCACTGATGTATTTTCATATCCTAAAAAAATAAAAATAAAATATTTGGTGTCTACACTGCTCAACAAATTTGTCTCGGTATATCCTACTAGACAATCATTCACGAACTGACGCATATTTGACTTCTAAATTTGTTCATGATGTAACTCAAAGCTGAAAAAATACTTTCAACACTTATCGTACAATCATAAAATCAATACAAATTAAGGGTAGCTTGTAATTAGATTAATTGTTAGGTTTTGAAAATAATTAAAGATAGAGAATAGGGTTTTGCTATTACACAGTGTTTAGAATATATCAACAAAAAAGTTGTAGATTAATGGAAATTATATTTATTAGTAATAGTAGTGTCCCGGGTTTGAATTACCCAAACTACCAACTATATTCTCATACGCAAACTACAAACGAGAGTAGTATATTCGCTTTCAAAATTTAGGGTGTCCCAGACTATTAGTTATATTTTTTTGTCTATACGTAAATTACCACCGGAGATTGGATAATCGATCTTCCAAAAGTTAGGGGCGTTCCGGGACACCCAAAAATGCCCCTGGGTCCGCCCCTGTACGCAGCTGCATGTGATATTGAACAAGACTTCACAGAATTGGAGGTGTGAAATACAATCAAAAGTTGTAACGGGGACAAAGCACCAGGTCCCGATGGGTTCAACTTCACATTCTATAGAGTTTATTGGGATACAATCAAAGCTGATCTCCTTAAGCCCCTTCTACACTTCCAAAATTATGGTCAGATTACCTTCGCGGCTAACAGTACATTCTTGGCACTTGTCCCAAAGAAGAACTTTGTAGTAGTATAAAGGATATTCGTCCCATTAGCTTGGTGGGCATGTTAGAAGTTAGAAGTTTATGTAGCTAAATGTAATTATTAAGTCTTTTAATTAATTACGTTTAGATCCTTAGACAGATTAGGGCGGCTTGGTATATATGATGACAGTCGCCTCTATTGTACGCAGAACCCTATTCTACACGTTTATACAATTGACTCTGAAAGGTTGGTCCTCTCCGTGGATTAGTCTCAACGATACTCGTTGAGGATACCACGTTAATTCGGCGTTGTTCTTTCCGAATACCACGTTAATTCGCCGTTGTTCTTTTCGATTGAGTTTGGTTTAC